TATATATATATATATATATATATATATATATATATATATATATATATTTTTTTTTTTTTTTTAAATGGGTGTGAGTTTTACATTGATTTCTACACACTCCAATGGGGATCTTGATTCATCCCTCCTTAAATTTTTACCAATAAAGAGCTGTCAGGGTCTAACTCTGGCATGAATCCATCAGATTACTTCTTTTCTATCTTCTTCCTATAATCACTATTATAAAAACAAGAAAATATTTCTTTGTTTTGCAGATCAAAGCATTGTGATTTGTTCAGCATATCCTTTTCAAATCATATGCCCTAAGCAATCTTGATATGCACATGTCCTCAAACCACACCTACCTTCCCTGGGACTTTGGGAATTTTGTTTTCTGTTCATTCTAATTCTGTCTTCTTTCCCCCTTCTTTCATTTTTCCTCTGTCTTCTCTTTTATCTCTCTAGGGGAAAAATAAACATATATATATAGAGGCTTTTCAGCAGCACACTGATACCAAAAATCTTGATTTAAACCCACTAGCTCCTCCTTCCTCAATCTCCAATTCAGTGAATGACATCAGCATTAGCCCTGTGTGAGGCTCAAGTGAAATAACTGAAAATGATACTTAGGACATTAATTTCCCTGTCTCCATCACTGAGTCCCCCTTCAAGTCCTATTGATTCTACCATCAAAATAACACACCTCTACTCCCCTCTTCTTCTCTTTCTACCACTTTAATCAAAGCCGACCTTCTCCCTCCCTACAATAGCTTCCTAATCGTTCTCACCACATCCACTGCCTGCCTCATACCTTATTGTGAATGCAGCTAACATGATCTGTTAAAATAACACAGATCAAATCTCTCTCTCTCTCTCTCTCTCTCTCTCTCTCTCTCTCTCCTTTTGCATTAAGGATAAAATGCAAAGTCAGGCTCTGCATGATCTAGCATCTGCCTGCCTTTTAAACATCTCATTTCACTCTTCTTTTTGCTGACCACACTATTCACACTGGCATACGTTTTAGTCACATAATATGTTACATTGCTAGCTGTCTCAAGTGCTTTCCATATGCCTTTCGCTTGAATTGAAAGGCTTTTCTACACTTTGCCTAATTGACTTCTGGTCATCTTAGATCCAAGCTTAAATTGCATTTGGTTAGAAAAGCTCTCTGAAAGAAAAATCAGGCCCCTTATTATAAGCCCTCCTTGCACATGTATAGACACACATACACACACACACACACACACACACACACACACATACATACACACACACACATACAGCTATATCTCTCCCTGAAATTTTAAGAATTATACACTTTTATTTTAGTAAATAATTAAACATATGATATGATCTTTGTACAAGTGAAGTTCTAACCGATTTTCAAACCAGGTTTCACTCAAGCTTGCTTTACTCAGTTCATAACAAATTTATAACACTACCCCATAACTATTTAAACTTACACATGGAAACAAATCACAGTTACAGAACTCATTTTGTATTACACTCCTGCTCAGGGTCCACACTGCAGATCCATTAGGCAACTGCGGGCTCTTCAGGAAGACAGAGTGATCTGTTTCACAGTTTATTTACTTCTCCATTGGGAAGTGACCGCTTCAAGAGGATGTTTCTTGAAATGTAACTAGTAATTTGTAAGAAACAATCAAAGATTCCGGTTCCATTTTCTGTACTGTATCTTCCTTTTCCACTATATCCTCAAATAAGTCATAGGCTCTTTTATATAAAGAAGTCAGATATGAAATTCCATCTCTAGCCTGGGTATGCTGAGGAGCCCAATTTATTATGTTCCATAGTCTCTGTTTCAATGTTAGTCATAATAACACTAAAATACGTTGAAATCTACCTTAAAAAATATTGAAAGAATGCATCTAGCTATCTTCTAACCAAGATGCTTCAAGTTCCAGCCAAATGCAAACTACTATACTATAATAGTGTTTCACTGAGCTACATGGTGAAAAGACCAACCAAAATTGTTGGAGGAAAAAAAAAAATGTGTGACCTTTGAACTACAGTGAGTGATGGGATATGTTTTCCAGGGCATTTAAGAATTCCCCAAAGTCTTTTTGCATCAAATGGTATAGCAGCCATTGCCTCAAGCCTCAAGATTAGTATTGAGTCAATACTAATTCAGGGATATTAAGCCTATGAAACCATCCTTATGTTTTCATAACTATTCCCAAATTTACATCCAGAAAGGCAAATGTAAACTGAAAAAAATTAATAAGTGTTCTTGTTTCTATGTTATCTGAGTTTGAATGGGAAAATCAAATCAGTTCTTTGAACTTAGAGCAAATGCCCAGGGATAAATCGTGTACATATATTACTACTGAGTGATTATTTATAAAGATATGTGCTATGTTTTCTTAGGAAAGCCTTTTATTACTTGGCACACTGGCTAAATATGCAGATTATATCTAGAGTGACTTTTCACATGATGTACAAAAAAAAAATTGATGAGCAGAGCCTGGAGTTAAACTAAATTTTGAGGTTCCATTAAAAAAAATGGCATTGCTACGGGACTTCCACTGATCTAGGACATCACTTTTTCTAAAATAACTAAATAAACAAATAACTAAATAAATAAACAAAAGGACCAGCTATTCCTTTTGATACTCCTGAAGCAATGTGAATGTATTCTTGGCTGTCTTCTCAATGCCCATATCATATTTCCGTGTGTTATTTTACAAAGATGGTCTGAGTTATTATTTTGCAGCTTAAAAGACCGACTGAGGCAAAGCAATTGAAAGCCAATTAAAATGTAATGGTAGATTCTAGATAAGAAACAAACTCACAATATTGTGTGAATATAAAATACTTTCAGTTATTGAAAAGAATATATTCAAGGAGCTATCACATGCCAATCATATCCTACATGCTTGAGTTCAGAAGTGGGTGAGACATAGTTTCCTCTCTTAAACTCAATGACATACAAGTGATAACTTAAGTACTGTGTAATATATATGTGCTCATGGGCCTGTTCCTCTAATGAACCTAATTCCTGAGGCAGGCAGTGTTACTTTTTTAAGTTTGGAATCAATTTACTATGAAAGTTTGTATGTGTGAAAAAGAAACTGGTGGGTCAGACAGCACTCAAGCTCAGACGGAATTTAGCACTGTGCCTTGCAGGTCAAGTTTTAGAAGCCTTAGCTACTAATAACAACAGTAAACTGGCTGTCTTTCTTTCTTGTTTTCCTGAAATTATCGGGAAGACACTGACACCATCATTATTCAGATTACAGAAGAAATGTGTCTGAAATAAATGAAATAAGCCTGATGGTATATAAAGACAGGGTTGCTTATGGGAGTACCAGGAG